GAAAACTCTTAGAAGATACTCTCTCAGATTGTTCTTCACCCGCTTTTGGAAAAGGGCCAGATTAACTTTCTCGAATTAATTTAACACATTCACTATTTTGTTACTACAATGTTAATTAACTCTAACTCCTAACTGTAACTTTAATATACATCGTCTCTCTTGCTACCTGAAAATTATTCCTCAATGATTGTTCGTCTTTACGTGAGATTTACAATTCCCATTCGCTGTCAAGCGTTAAAGTAGTTTGTTCGTTCGAACCACGATTAGAATTCGGTATGACAAACCGTTGTTCAAACAGAGATACAACTAAACGTAGTCTGTCGTAGCACGCATGTGTGTGCATGCGTGATGCATATGTGTGTGTGTGTATGTACATGTGTGTATATCTATCTGCATGCAATGATTACTTCGTGTTATATAAGAGTGCTTCCTGCTCTTACGCCAATCACCACATAATATGTAAAACACGCCGAGCCTGTCTCAGACACCATTCCCCCTTAGTATTACTCGCGCGACGAGAAAATAATGCTGGACGCAGTAATACTACTGTAATAGCGACTTGTCTTTCACCGATGGTTTCTATTATGAATTTACGAAAGCTTGCACCGATTTCCATCTTAATCCGCGTATCCCGAAAAATGTTTTACTTCATCGACAAAAATGGATGACATAAGAAATAAAATGATTAATATAGTATGTGAGCACAAATGTTTTATAATATAGAATGTGTAAACAGCTCGGCGAAGGGACACGTTAAATCAAGAATTTATAAGACCCATTCTAAATTAAGATTTCACATTTGAAAAGAATTTCTTATATACACACACATACACACGACACAACGAATTAAGAACTTGCTTCATTCCTTCGTAAATCCCCATGTCGTTTCTTGCTAACGCCAGTTCGCAATTTATAAGTCCGATGTCAGATATTAATTAATTATTGGCTGACTCATTACCGATTAGAATCAATTGTTAATTGAAACTTAATAAAGTCGTGCTTAAATTTGCTTGAAGAATTCTTCCCTGCACGGGATCATTCGTATCCTCTCCGTAACTTTCCGCGAGTGTCGCGTAAGGGCCCGAAAGTTTCCGCGGAGCTCGTTACATCATTGACTCACGTTCTCACGTGCTCAAACGCTATCGAATGTCTTACGTATGCACATACGACAAGTATCCGCGAAGGTGAGAGAGGGAGAGAAAAAAGCGACGTCGAATACGACAATATACCGAGCGCGATGCAACTCGCCATACTTGCCTTCAGCCGTGAGTAAATCCGCGATGAGATCGACATCGTCGTTAATGGTTAATGGTCGCAAAGTTCATCCTTTAGCAGACAAATAACATCTCATGAAATTACTACATATATAATATATTCACGGCTCTGAATAATAATTAATCATGCCCGACATATAACATTTTTTTTTCTTTATTTATAGTTGTTTGCCGCATATTATTTATTATCAATGTCGTGCTGAAGGACATCAAATGAGTGGAGCTGACCAATCAATCGATTTGTTCAATTCTTGCCGTCCAAACTCTTCTCGCGATGATGTAAAGCTGTTTTTACACAGAGAACAAACCGGATCAAGAGAGATAAACCTCGTACTTTGGCTTGCGTGCGTAAAGGGGAACGCGGTAATCTCGTGAGGCTATTCAGTACTAGCCACGTAGAATCCCGATCGGGCGACCTTTAAAATCGATGTCGCGTCAGCGAGGATAACCAGTATCAGAAATAATGATCGGTCGATTAGTATCGGTATGAGGAGCAATAAGACAGTATCAAAGATGATTTCAAGGAAAAATGTCCAATAAAAACGATAAAGCTATTTTTAACACAACTGTCAATTAATCATGAATTAATGATCATCAGTTGATTTTCTCTCTTATCTACATTGAGATGATATTGTAGTAAGAATTATTGTAGTAAGAATTAAACTTATATTCTCTTTTACAATGTTTCTTGTAAAACGTAGATTGTACTAAAATTATAGTGGAAATTACTAATGAAAATAATAAACTTGGCGACGATTTGAATATACGATACAAAAAACATTCATATAATTACCATAATTTTATGATAAAAAACCAAATGTGTATTATTATTTTGTATGGTCCTAGATTACAAAAATGTTATAATTTTCACTACAATATTTTCTACGTGAATTATTATTTATGTCACTCAATGAAAAATTACTATTATTATTATTATTAATAAAATTATTATTATTAATAAAATTGTATTTACTAGGATGGAGCTTTTTCTCTCTTTCGCACGTGCTTATTTTCTTCTACTTTTTATTGCTTTTATGCTTTTAAATATGTTAAAAATTGTACGCTATATCTCATAAACATCGAATATTATTCTGAACATGAATTACATGACAAATTAGAATCGAATAGAGCGAATAGAGCTCTACAAAATGTTACCGTTCGCGATGCGAATTCTTACATTGAAATTAAAGTTCCGTTAAGATAAAGATCTGTTATGGAGGTGAATCCAGGAAGAATATTATGAAAATAATTCGTTGCATCAGCGCAGGGTCGAAGGAACGATAAGAACGTGTGTAATGTGACTTTTTCTCAGAATTAATGTTCAATAGTAACGTCTTTTTTCAAGATAGACACGCAGCCGGAGATTTAAATCAGTATAATTTTGACGAGTACCGACCAGAGATACGAAGAATATATGTGTTTCGACGACGAACTAAATTACCAAGTGACAGTGGAAACATGACAGTTATACGCATTTCGTGCTTCTATATTTTGCTGTACCGTGCGTCATTTCTTGAGCCAAAAATTGTACAGAAAATCAGAGTTTTCTACTCCCGGCAACGCCCCGACACTTCACATAATTAATCAACATTTTTTTACACAATTAATCGATGTTATTTCACGTTTGCAGCACCATACATTGCCTCGCAAATCGAAAGATCCACGGAGAATCAAATTTTCCCCACCCGGAAACGCACGTAATCCCCGATGTTTTACATAATTAACCGACAGGATCCTCCACACGTAATTAAGTCAGATCTGATTGAATGATTCTTTCCAGCGCGAAGCAAATTACTCGCAATACCCGATCGCCAATGAGCGGAGAAAAGAAATGCTACTCGGAGGCATGAAGCGCCTTACTAAAAGGACACTTAGCTCGATATTGACGGGACTGTCGGGACGTACGATGACGGTCGACTGAGATGGTGTCTCGCTTCGCGTTTTGAAACCTTCCGGAAGCAAGTTAATAAAGCGCGCTCGACAGCGATCGCGGATTGGGAACTCGCCGAAATTGCGAGCACGCTTCATTTCACCGGCGCAACGGACCGGAGTAAGGCGAAAAACTTTCGGGCCGTGTCGCGAGGTGAAAGTACCGCGGCGGTCCACGAGTGCACGTATTCGCGAGTCGGGGTGACAGCCGAGGAGTTGTCAACGACAATGCCGTCGCCGCCGCCACCGCCGCCGAGGAAGCCGACGACGGTGTCGCGCTAAATAGGCCGCAATGATTCAGTGTGGTCGAGCGTGCGCGCGCGATGACACATCCATTGAATCGAATTAAGAGCAACGGCTACAACCGAGCCGTGACATTACCCGCGATGATCGAGTTAATCGCAGCCTCTTGGACTGAAGCGCACGTCTCGGTGCCCTGCGCCTTGCTCGTGCCCGACGGCGCGATGCAACCACGCCGCTTCGCGGCTGATAAGACGTGGAAAATTCGAGAACGCGGATCGAGACGGTCGAGTGGTGCGATTGAAATACGCACCGTCGGGATTTTGATGGGTCGAAGTGAAATTGACGTACTCTCGATGGTCATGGTATTATATAAACGCTGACGAGGCGGCGCGATTCGCCTTTTCGAGCGTGACGAACTTTACCATACATTAGTAGATTCGGAATGATTAACGTTGTATAAGATGATTGATCTTGCATAACTGCACTCGTATGGGGAAAGAGAGAGAGAGAGAGAGAGAGAGAGAGAGAGAGAGAGAAAGAGAGAGAAGGAGAGGCGGAATTCTTTCACCCGGGTTGTCATTTCCGATTCAATCAGTCGCGCATTATTGCCTTTCTTTAGTAGCCACTTGAATATGACACAATAAAATATGAAATGCCAATTTTAGCTATCACAAAGTCCACTCTAAATTTCAAGTTAACCATTCGTTCTGCCGACAGACAAAAATGTTCCATCAATATTTGTCACAAGTTTCTTTAACCATCAATTTCTAGTATTCTTTCGCTTATTTTCACTATTTTTATTATTCTTATATCATATTTATCAAGTCGACAAAAACGACAAACATAAACGTAAAAAAGAAAATGTATGAGTTATTAATGAAATAATTAACATCAATTAATTAATTATCATTTTCAGTTTGTCAACAGATTTCAGTTTGTCAAGACGATGAGTTAGTTTCACTTAAAATCTAGAATGCACTCTCCAGGACGTAAAACTGACAATTTGTTTTTTGTTATGTATTTGCGCTGATAACAACGTAACGAAAATCGCTATAAGATATGTAATTGGGCGAAACATTTTCAGTGGTTATGGCTTTGCTTGAACCTCTCTTCGTGTCAACTTCACGATCATTGTCCGAACGCGCGTCGTCGGGACGTTCGTTCGATCGATTCGCAGCGTCGGCGGTCATCGAGAACATCACGATGATTTAACCGCGAAATACGCAACCTCGATATGCACACAATATCGCGAAACGCTTCCGGCTATAAACGCACAAGGCGCATACTGAAACGCGTATGCATGTGAGACGCTTGACTTTCGCGTCGAGTCGATCACGACGATTACGTTATGATCGTGTTATGTTACAAGGGAATGCATTTCGGTGCAATTCACAGATGCATCGAACGCAAATACAAGTGCATTCGAATACCTCGCGTATCCTCGTAAGCGCAATCCTCTCGAGGATTTCGCGATCTCCTCGAGGAGACGCAATCCCTCTCATCTGTCATAATTTTTCTAAGACAAGATCTCTCTACTGACGTATGAGTACTTACACCATCGTCTGAGGAAACCGCCTTGCAGTTTGGCGCAGATCCCGCGATGCACCCTCATGCTGAGCGAACCTTCACCGTGCGTTCACCCCGAAAAATCACAGCACACCCGCCCGTCGGCGAAATCGTACCAAGTGCGAACGCGTATGTGTCCCGCTTCCTCCTGCTTCCCTTTTCCTACCTTTCTGGATGGTTGATCCTTCAGGAGATATGTTCGTAGATCAAGTCATGCACAGACACACCTTTTTCTTAAAGACGTTATTGTTGTCCTGTTTATCTTCTTCGTCGTCGTCTTCTTCGTCGTCGTCGTCGTCGTCGTCGTTGCTGTCTTTCAACGTCACGTGTTGTTTTCTTCGTCTGGTGATCGTTTTCTCGCGATGCGACGACTTGGAAGAGGCTATTGGACAGTTGGGTTAACCAGCTGGAGAAAGTCAATCCTCCTTTCAGAATGAGCTAAGTGTGCCGGACCGTACGGTGTCGCACAGTTTCGCCTGTTTTATATCGCAGATTCTGGTTGCCAGAAGGCGCGCTTTTACTTCTCTTTTACACGCTGTCGTCGTTATTGTTCGCTCCACTGGTCGTCTGTTGTTTTGAGGCAGATGAAACGTGCGATCACCGCATATCCTTTCCCACTAGGACCAACTGATATCGTGGAGGGATATCCTCCACGTCGTCGATCAACCGATCGATCGATCGCTTGCGGTGGTACCAGCCACGATCGAGCGATCCTCGTTGATCCTCGAGTCCGTTCGCACGCGACGAGTGCACGCGACTGCTTCCTCGACTGCTGCGTGGTCGACCGCTGGTGGCCGCGACAGTGATCGTGGGAACGACCGGCGATGATGATGTACTTGGATGAGGAAGAGGCATACGATCCGGAGGAGGGGGCGAGGTAGGGATATGGATAGGAGATACGAAGGAGATAGATAAAGATGGTGGGAGTAAGAGGAGAGAGAAAAAAAAATATATAAAGAAATATATAAAGAGGGACAAAGACGACTGAATCGGGAAGAGGAGCGTCGAGAAGTCGAACGGAGGTAAGAAGAAGAAGGAAGAAAGAAAGAGAGAGAGAGAGAGAGGAAAAGAGAAAGGAGGAGAGGAGAGGAGAGAATCGAAGAGAGATCAAGCGGAACCGACGTGTGCGTTCGGTGTAGGTATCGGTGTACGTGCGCGTAGAATATCGTGTGGCAGAGATGGGCGAGCGTGCGATCGGTGCGAGATCAGCCGAGACACTGCGAATACAGGAGAAGCGTCGCGCCGCTCAGGTGAACGATTTATTATTGCCCCCACTTGCCGCTCCACTTTGCCCCCTTCGGTGACTACTACACTACCACTATTGCTGACTGCTGCTACGTTGCTGCTCCATTCGGCTCTTGCATTGCTCATCTCGCTCCGGCAGCACAAGAGCGCTTCATTTGGTTTGCATCTCTTTTACATTATACGAAATTTCTCCTTAATATTGTTTTTCTTTCTCCCCCCCCCCTCTTCTCTCTCTCTCACTCTTTCTCTTTCGTTCTCTGTTTCTTTTATTCTTTCTATTATAATCCTTCATCATGCCTTGATCGATGCTTTGCAACACGCGCAGCTCAAGCAAAAACAGCGCACATTAAAGGTCAATAAAATTCGCAAACGCTCTTGCGAATTAAAAGTCCCGCGATAAATTTATGTTGAGCGACTTACAACGCGACCGCGTGATTGAAAAGTGATCGCAAAGCATCATGAATGTTTGTCCAAACGATTGTCAAATCGTTGCTATTACATCCCAAAGTTTCGACTCTTTTGTAATGTGTCAAGCTCGAGGAGGATCGGGGCCTCGCGAGCCTAGGCGCGCTCCTACCAGTGAGGCGAGCTTCTCGCTTCCTCTTTCAGCCAAGTAACGCAGGTGGCAACGCCTGCGCCTGCGCTGGTACCACCACCTCTGAACACTCCGCGTCGTCCTCTCTCGCTTTCTCCCGCGTCTTATCCGCGCACCAGGTAGTCCTTGTTCCATCGCGTCGGAGCCCTGCGGGTCCTTTCCTTCCGCGCTTCTCCGTTATCCGCCTCCTCGAACTCAATACGCGACGGTTTCGGAAAATAATAACAATTCGCGTATCGCGTAGGTGGAGCGGTGACTGTCCTGGAACAGGACTTCCTCGTGATTCTCAGCAGCATTCTCTCTGTCCATTCATTGTACGCGACACATAGAACGAGACAGTCGTGCTCTTCGTCTCGTCCGTGTATTCTCGACTTCGTTTTCACGGTCGACTCTCGCGCTGCCACAATTTTACCGAAAACTAATGCTAATGAGTAACCTCCTTTTATGAGTAACGCCCGTTTATGAGTAACCTCGTTTCTTAATTAGTTTTATAAGGAAACTACATTCTTTAATCGAGTCGTAAATGATAAGTCATCGTCGAAATATACGTACAGATATATAATATCAAATCGTTCAACACTTTGATGACGACCGCTGTCGCGTATGAGTGATTCATTATGACAGGCGATTATCATCTCATGAAAAAATATTTGTCGATAATAAATATTGTCGATAATAAAAATCTATGTAATTTTTTTAGAGAACGTATGAAGCACATATATAAATTAAAGGTTTACGTGCAATATGAGAATTTTCGTTTTTTTAAATACAGTCTAAGAGAGCCTTCGAAATTTGCCGGGTGAAAATTTCGCTCTGAAATAATTTATCTGAAATTTCGCGTAGTTATTCTTGATAAAACTAATCTGGTCTTTAGGATTTTTTTATATTTATTATAGCTTTTTTATATATAACTAATGAGGAAACTGTAAATTTACTGTAGCAAATTGAACCGTCAGCTTTGAGTGCTAATAACTATACCAGGAGTCAGTATCTTAATAGATCAGCTATAACAAAGACTAGTTCCATTAATCTTTGACTTGACGGATTTAATATTTGCGAAAAGTTGATCTTAGCAAAGAGTCAATAATTTGTTCAGAAAAAAATTCCAAAGTTGGGCGTTTTCTGACCCGCGTAATCGTATGTGTAGCTCCTTAAAAATGAAGCATCGTGAATCTGTCAAAAACTAGTCTCAATTTAGCGACGCACACGCCGCACCGATGTTCACAGATATAGTTTTTCGTCGCGGACTTTCACCCGGTCGATCGGTCGGTTACCCACGCATTGAAGTCTCCGAAAGGTGTCGAATTTCCGGTCGGAGATTCCCCCGGCTTCGCCGCGAATTATTAACTCACGTCGGTTACGGCGCGACTAGAATGGACGAAACTTACGTAGACGTTAATAAACGACGCGAGGAGAACTTTACAGTTAGCGATCTCGAAAAAAGAGGCCCACCGCCAAAATTAACCCGATTCCGCGTAGCTCGTCCGCAATCGACAATCGCCTTGCCTAGGAACGTGGTCAAGCGGTCGGTGATCGAGGACATAAATGTAGGTCAATGCGGAAAACTACGCGAGTTTTTACGCGGCTTCTCCTGCCGCGATGTTCTTCCGCATTATCGCATCTGGAGCTCTCCTTTCGATTCGTATCGGTGATAATTGTTACCTAGACGATAACCAGTATTGGATAAGGGAACCGTTACATCTGACCGAATTTCGCACATGCGATATTTTTCAGTCCGTCTCATTCGATCGACGCGGTCAGAGTTCCTCCAGTCCAAGTTAGGACAATGCATAGTGATTCCTGACTGGTCTGCATCCTGTCCGTCATTTTTAGAGCTGACATGAATGGGAGTGAGAGAGAAATTCTGCTAGAGAGTAGAAATGAGAGAGCAGCTCTGAGACTGAAATGACGAAGCACGCTGCAACTTTTCTCTCATTGACTCATTCGCTCACTCACTCACTCACTCATTCATTCATTCATTCACTTCCTTTCCACAAATGTCAACGGACAAATGTCCGGACCGATGTCCTAACTCTGGAGTCGAATAACTTCTCGCTCGAATTCGTCGTTGCGCGGAAAATCCGCAGCGCAGGTTCTTGGAAATGCACTTCTCGGCGATGCGCTCGGACTCGCGATCTTGCGAGTCACTTGCCGCGATCTCGCGCAGGCGTCCGAGTGTGAAGTGTCCTCGGCATTATGCCTGATTCATATAATTCACATAATTAAATCCGCTGAAGAATCGCACGCGCGCACGGCATCCGCACGAGAAGAATCCGTCTTTAAAACGTCCGAGGCAGAATTATTCTAGCGTAGCGCGCCGTAACAGACATCCGCTGTCAGCGACAGAGGAGACTCTACATTGACAGAAAAAGAGTCTACAGAGTAAAACATTATTCAGCGGTATCACTAATAACATATCTACTTAAACCGCTTTACTTAACTAGAATAAAAAATTGCATTCCTTTCATGGAGAGTTACGGCTTTAATAAAATGTATATTTTCTTATTCGATAAACATTTCGATATCAAAATATGTTGATATGAATAAATATTGAATTTTTTCTGATATTTGATTGCTCAGTATATATTAAGACTGATTAGCATTTCGCATAATATCGACAGCAAAAACTCAGAAAGAAAAACAGGAAGGATTAAAAATAAATACGAATTTGAGGTTTTAGCGTTGCGTAATCTTTACGGTTACGTTTTGTATTTTTACTTCGAAATATACGCGTCTGCGCGCACGATATTTTATGTACGGCACGCACATTTGTTTGTTAATATTTTTATCAATATAGTTGAACATATCCTGCTTATAAATAGCCAAAGAGACTTTGAGCAAGTACATGCACGCCGCGCAATTTTCACCTTCGCAGTTAAATATTGAACCTAGTCAATTCGCGTCGTGGGGTTTTCATATTGCGTCAACTGTGTTCCAACTGTGTCTTGGCTAATAATAAAGAGCGCTTCCCCTTATCGGCTGAGACATATCAGTCTTAATTACAGACCGATCGCTACGTATAATGCCCTTGTTTTTGCTGCACGATACCGGCGGTAACCTTGACCTTTTAATTGGGCGATACCTCGACATTTTCAATATTACGCAGATGACTGTCCACGTCACGTTTGATAAATTTGCGCGACAGGCTAACATCATTCGCATATGTATAGACTGATTAATCCAAACTAATAGTAGTTTTTGCTCTCCCGTACTTGCTCTTCTCCCGCACTTGACGCGCGTTACGCAACGTAACGAGCTCTACAGACAGCTTGATTGTAATGTCTATTTATTAAAGTAAAAACAAAAACAGGAACAAAGATCACGATATTGCGCAAATTGTTTTTGCATGGCCACGGGTAGCCACGCAGATACTTCCGCGGGACTTTCGGATAGACTAAGGCCTGTTATTAATCGTGATAAAAAACAGATATGGACGAAAACATAGCTCGAACGTAATTTACGATTTGTAAATTTGTTGTATCTCCCCTCCCTCTCGCTCCTTGTCATTTATTTCGCGGCATACAAGAACTTGATCGTACGAGTTAGTTAAACTGAAACAAGTAGTGCGAATCGCGTACTATTACACTAAGAGAAAAAAATATCTAACAAATAGTAAATATTTATTCTGTGAGTGTATAACATATTTACTTTTTTAGATTAATATAAAATATTTTTCAAATAAGAAACTATTTTCTTGAAATCTTAAGAAAACTTTAGCATTAACTTGAATGCATAATTATTTATTCTACTTAAAGAATTTAAATTTAAGTAAATATGTTATTAGCACTCACCAAAGAAATATTTAGCATTTTTTAGATTTTTTTTCGATGTATAATAAGAGAAAAAAAATACTTGATCTAATTAAATTTATAATTATTTTTTACTCCAACTATATTTTATGACAGTCCTAATGCAAAAATGATAGTAGTTACACGCATATAAAGTTATCATTATTAACATTATAATAGAATTTAATTAAAAAAATGGTTTCCTTGACCATAGTTTATAATAATTATTTTTCTATGTGTGTTTGTGATTATAGTTACAAATACCAAACTTTTTTCTCTCAATGTATATGCTGCATCGCTTGATTTTAGAAAACATCTGTTTTAAAATAACAGGAAACTTATATCTTAGAAATTTTTATATTGAACTCGTTTGATTACTTTGTAAGTCATCGATTCCTATCTGAGAAAATATCACGAATTCCAAATCTTTATCGTTATACTTAATCTAAGCTTCTGGAATTAGTATTACATACTTCGTCGATTTGTTCCCGACGTTTCATGAACATTCCACTTTGTTTCAGGAAGTGGAACGACTTAAACAACGCGCAGCACTAACTCGGAAGCCTAAAATATCCTTAATTATATTCTATTAGCAGACACTACACTATCTATCGATAGCAGGTACCATCTTATTAATATCATCTTAATATTATCTATTAATACTTTATTAGTATATTAGTCATTATTATATTAGCCATTTGAGAAACATATTTTTTCTACTTGACAGATTTTTATAAACATTTATATTTATACGTTTTTGAGGTTGCTAATTATAAACTAAAGTCCAATTTCCAAAATTCAAAATAGCGGACCAGTTTTTTATAAAAATTTTTATCTTCGCCAAAATTATGTACATATAACCCCGCAATACGATATGAATACTACCTATTATCAATACTTCCTTTTCAACCAAAGGCCCATCTCAATTCTTACGTATGTGTACGTCATTTAGCTTCTTAAGCGCTAACTTTAATTGTTAGTCCTCATTAGCTACTCTGTCGTGGTTAACCTTGTCTAGAGTCCCGAATTAAAACTTGTATAGTATCCTGTTTAACCTGTTCATTAACTCGTTTCAAAATCAAGATAATTTTTACTGCATCGCTTTTCGCACGTAATAATACGCTTTTATGATATTAATTTACATAAAAGCAACAACAAATAATTTCGAAGGATTTGGTCATTTAAGAGAGATGAGATGCTAGGAAAGTTGTGTGCAAAGCTAAAGATAGCATGTAAACACGAATTAAGATATAAATTTCGTTTTGGCATAACAATACTAATTGAACGTAAAAAAGTCGTTTCAAGGTTTCTTTTTGTATTGTTTATTAAAATAAAGAATAATAAATGAAGATAAACTATTGAAACGATTGAATATTAAATAATTCTTGAATAAATCTTTCTTTAAGCCTCAACAAAACAGAGTATTTTTAGCATTAAACGAGAGTATCTGGTATAGTCTCGTATATCTCGAGATTTTCTATTAATACTTCAAATTCTGCAAGGAAATGTTTAAGCCGAATTTTGTAAACCAAAATTTCAGATTGGGATTATACGCGAGAGAACTTCGTAAGAAATACAAGATGGAAAAACCCTAATCGATATAATCCCTTCTCCGCAACATCTCCCGTGTTATCTCTGTTTCATTATGTTCTTCCTTTATTATTTCATTTGTCTTGTTGTATTATAACAAGAGCATGGTTTAAAAGAATGATTTGTACAATCATATTAGACACGTCCATGAACTGATAAGAGAAAGAGAGAGAGAGAGAAAAAGAGAGAGAGAAAGGAAAAGAGATAATGGTAACAAGCATCTCTGAGAACACACGTTTGTGCAGTACAAACAAGAAAAAACACATGTCTATCATAACGAACAGCGAGAGGTCTGAAGGGGTTAATACTCCGTTTGTGAACGTTACAATCGGCTGTGCTGTAATTTACGGGACGAAATGCGCAACTAAGTTGACAACGACCGTCTTTCGCAAACGACGGTCTCCACCCTTTCGAGCTGCGTTGCGTTACGGCACAATTGTAAAGGATATCGTATCAAATGCTGAGGTGGAATAGTTAATTGTCGCTAATTACGATCCAACCTTTAACCTGCCATGATTGTACGATTCGCGTTATTAGAAGATACGCAGATATTCGTAATCGCGACTATTTATTGCGCGATACATCTCGAAATATCTTTTTTACTACGATCGCGAACGCAACACGCGCAGAAAGCAGCGCGAATATCGCGGTCGATCGGGTAACGATAATATAATAATGATAGCATACTTCGCCACAATACGGAAATGCGAAACATAATGTCATCGTAGTAAAGTGTTCCACAAGTTGCCGCGAAAAAATGTCCTTCCTTAAAGGATACACGAACGTACGCGCGCTCACGTTACACGCGCATAATCGAAAAAATCTTTTCTTTTCTTATTATTATTTCCGATTACATTTCGGTCGAGGTTGAAATCCTCTCCTGCAATTTCGTTTCGCTTCAGAGAATTAACGCCTAACCTGAATTGGTTAGGTGAATGTCGAGAAAACAGCAACGAGCTGAATTTCCGTTGAAACGAAGTGAACTTGAAATTCGTGATTCGCGAAATTGCGAGGGAGATCGATGAATTCTCCGCATGACGCACCAACAATAATGTATATTCTCGTTCGTGGCAATTCGATCGATCGCACGGTATGTCGTCGTAGCAGGAATATCAGCCAGGATCGGGCTGTGACGACGAGCGCGATCGCGAACACGCGACTTCTCTTCCGCGTGCGGCTCTCGGTTATCAAGGCGGCATTAGAATTACTCCACTTACTTTTATTTGCAGAAGCTCCGTACATCGTGCCGTTCCAACGGAAGCAAGGCGAGTAGGCAGGGCGTCAGTGCGTGTAATTGCTCCACAACTCTTGAATTACATGAATGACCAAACTGCGCCGAGATCAAGCCGGCGAAAGCGACTCCGTCGGGCCCGCGTGTGCGTTTCTATTTTTCCCTCGACAGTGTGTGCGCAGCATATTTCCCACTGGAGATCCCGCTGAAACACCAAAGATATATCGTTAATAAGATTCCATCAAGATAATCGCAAAGTGCGATCGTGCGATTATTCCGTCCCGTTCGCTATTCTCATGCGTGTCCCGCGACAGAGAGGAGAATAGGATCGACGTATTGAGAATCTAACCATTCTTTTGTGTCAAGATAATAAATATCGTTGCTATTATAATTACTAATATACGACTAACAATTTTGATTAATGCGATTAAGAGAAGAGATTATTTTAGTCTTTGAAGAGATTTGACAAAATCTAAATCAATGTATCAAAACGCTGCTTCTCTACTGCCATATTCGTTTCTTTTACCGTAAAATTTGCTACAAATTCTTATATCGCTTGTGGCTTACTTTATATTACGCGGGAGTCGCTCGATCAGTGTTTCCGCGCAAGCCGCTCTGATCGGAATGACCTACACAGATCACGTACACGTCTTACATATTGATTTTCCAAAAATATCAATAAAAGTAAGCATTAAACGCGCGACAAATCAAAGGTGAACGACACGTTTGTTTATGATCGCGTCCCCGTGTAGTAGCGTTACACGTCGCTATCGGCCAGCTTTCATCGGTGACGTAAGCTCCATGCTTACTCCGAGGAAAAAAACTCTCACCTCTGGTCGACGTAAATTTTTGATTCGGAAAACATTTTCAAATGATCTCGAAAGAATTTTATCATCTTTGCACAGAAAGAAAAAATAATAAATAGAAAAGTAAAGTTTTTGTTTCATTTAGCTCTGCCAACTATAAACAGATTATTCAATATTTATTTATATATTATACATACTTTATCTGCAATTGAACTATATAATTATGTGATAATATTTTCGATAATACTTTATCAAAAATTATGCAGATATAGAATTGAAAATGATTGAATATTAAATCATTTTCCTCATGTGTATTTTATAAACAGTTTAAAGCACAAAATTTACAGCTATTTTAGTATTTGTTAGCGCGTATTCCTTTCAGCTTTAAACATGTGAAAAACACTGATAATCGTTTGTGGGTATCAAAGGAGAGCAATGGTTTATATATAATTGATTTTATTAATATTATATTTCGAGATTTTCTACTCAAATTTGATGAAATTTATGAGGTTAATGTGTAGGCAAACTGTCGACTCGGCAAGCCTCGGGAAACGAGTAGGAAACTAGGCCAGCGGAAAACTGTAGCGAAAGAAAAATCGTGCACACTTGCTTTGACTTTAATTTCCTGAGAGATTTAATTAAAAATTAGATATCGACATCTGCGATGCGCTTTTGAACGGTCTACTTATCCTTATCTCTCGGTTAAAATAATTCGAGTTGCCTCGCGTTCCGTGTCGCGTTTCGACCATTTATACATGGCGAAGTAAATATTTCGTTCTTTCGCGGGTTTAACATCGCGTATCGCCCGAGAGCTTGCGTTTCGTTCCGCTCTGGTAGCATTTTTCGCGAGTCCGGATTTTATCACAGCGCGATTAAAACGCGCGTGCCAATTACTTTCCTTCGTTTCGTTCTAATCGCAGAAAGTGTAAAAAAAAAGGAAAAAGAAAGGAAAGAACGAAAGAATTTCGCGCCCAAACGAACGCCAGACGCGTCGGGTGAAAATCTCGCCTAATAATTAACGTGCTTTTGTAACTAACACAAAGCACAATCTGACCGAGCCTAGTTTTCAAAATTGAACACTGAAAAATGACGTGTGGGTATTAATGCGAAGGGTGGCGAGAAGATATCTCAAAAAAAAATGCGCGGCCATATCGCGTCGGCCGCCTCGAATGATTATTATCCGATATTTCCGTTGACTCAGTCTCTCACACGACAGTAATAGGGTGCATTTCCTTTCCTTCGTTTCGTTCTAATCGTGCATTTTAGATCTGCATCCACGATCAACGCACTTAAAACACCTGAGTACTCGTTGCATAACTCTCGATTGATGACATCAGAAGCAAAATTCTTGCGTGTCATCTTCAAATAAAAAGATGTTTGTGCGAAAGAACACTTTTGATAACTCAAGCATTTTTGCAAAATGCAACAAAAATGATAATTTTCTTTTAATACAGTTAATGAACAGTAGTAAAATGACAAAGACTTCTTCTTTAACTTATCTTTTCTTGCAATTTGCAAGTTCTGGACGTCTCCTGGATATTTGTGCTTTTAGGGTATCGAGAGAAATGGATATATAGTTTTCAGAGCATTCTGCATGCATGCTTGAGCGATCTAAAATTTTCCTTCATATCTTTTTATATTTCTTAATATCTAAATAGCAAGAATTTTCAGCGAGTCATTTCTCGCTTCTGACGTCACAATTCAACATGGCTGCGGCAAGTAACCTTGTCCAGGAGCCTTAAATATTCATATATCATATCAACGAACATTCTCTCATGCGAATTCGATCGAGAATAGGATAAACGCGCGCACTGCTGTTGAACACAATATACGCCGAGCCAGCTCCAGATGTTCAAGATTACTCAGTGATCAACAATTAGCAAGCTAACGATCGCGGAAACATAATCAGTATCACGGAAAAAACACGTTTAATCGATATCGATCAATCATTCAGTGCATAGTTCGTAGAACGCTTCGCCGTAAACGAAGCGAATGCGACGAAAGGGAGAAGGAGCACGCAGAGAAAAAATGCGTCATTATTTGAGCTAATTGCAAGTAGTTAATATTGTAATATAGATAATGACTTAATAACAAGAATATTGCGCACTTGATAAGAACGAAGGATTATAAAGAATGTTACCTCGCAAAGTCGTGCTGATCCATTACTTTCCATATATCCTCCTAATTGATCCTCGCAAACATTGCCGAGGCGCCTCTTTCCGTCTCAGTCTCACTCCTCGGCGGATTGTTCCTCATACTCGTTCTAATTAGATGAGGGAACGCGTAACTCAGAAGACGTATTCTCTAAAATACAGAAGCGATATCAATTGCACCTTTAGCATCCCCTCAATGGAAGCAACTGATGTTTGAATATTAGGTCAGCCAAAAAGTTCGTCTCAATGGCCGACAGATGGCGTCCATTGACGTACACACGACACAGGCGACAATGCTGACACGATGGTGCCGGTATTCGTAGTCCGAACTTATATTTAAGGGCCGGCAGGAAGGACTATGGAGAAAACACATGAAATAAGCAAAAGTATTTCTCGTTTTCTGTGACTGAAATACGGAGAGGATTATTTTATAATTGTGGTATTTGTAATATAAAAATAGGGTCGAAATAAAAATTGAATTATTTGAATGAACATCCAATTGAAAGTGCAGCACAAATTTATGTTTTCATTTATTATAAATTTTCAAAAGCGTAATCGCAACATCCGACTTTGTATAACGTTTACAAGGCAAAATACAAAACATTATGGAGACCAGGGCTCCTATTTTTGAAATTTTTGCGTACATAATTTTCATTGCGCAGCTATTTTATAATATGATTAAACCTGCGCAATAAAACTTACGTATACGCAACTATTTCAAGAATAGGGGTTCAGGGAAAGTGTAGCCCAGCTCGCAGTAGTTTCCGCCACATTTTCTTTTATTGCAGCGAAGGTACAACACCTGCGTATGCGCGTCGTAAGGTTCACACGCGCATTTTATTTACAATAAGTGTGCAATGTATAACGCGTACTAACTTACAGTTGTTAATTACGCTTACAGAACAGTGTTTCGCGCTCTCGCCGCATGAAACCTCCATAGTCAAATTAGATTTACTCTATTTGCACTTGCAAATTATTCTTAAAATTATCTTAAGTTTTTTTCAGATACTTTGTAACCAATAAAATAATCCTTATAATGTCCAAAGATGAACTTATAATGATATATCTAAAAAAATATATATAAGATTCTATTATAAATATCACTCTGTATGTTCAGAACAATAGGCAAAAGATTATAAACAGCAATTCGTTGATAAATAATTTCTTTTAGTTGATAAATAATTTCTTCTCATTCAACGCAAAAAGTAAAATTTGATTTGAATCGATACTTTTGACCGACCCAATGACACCTGAAAATAAAAATAACATTAATAAATTATCACCTAAACTAATTTCTCATTCAACCGTCTCGAAGAAAATATTTTTGCCGAGACGTTAATTAATAATGTTAGTAATGAATCAATGCAAAATGCAGCGTCACGAACAAAATGGAGTCGAAATGCATGTAGACAGATTTGAATTTAAAAGCAAGATAACGAATTTTTCTGCATCGACGTAGCTTTGCTCATTGTCGAGATATGAATTACGAAATTTCGTAATAGATAAATGCAAAATTGACGCTTTTGGTGTCTTGAGTTACTGGAAGAAAAAAGCCGCATCGATTATCTTGGATCATATCACGCCGACGTGTACATATTACAATCTTCGGTTTTCACCGGCGAAAGGAATAGAAAGCCGCCGGCGTTTTAACTCCTCGTCGTGCTTGACAGGAGGACACAGAGTAATTAGATGAACTACAATTTCCTCCGATCGCGTAGCGGATTTCCGTTGTCTCGTCGTCTCCGTCACGACGATCGGTGAAGTCGCCAGAAAATCGCGCACACAAAGACGAAAGCAAATTAAAAAGAATTAGATGGTAGACAGAATTATGTGCGGCGAAGAAGCGACCGTTTCTTATCTTTTTATTACTATTACTTTATGATTCCGGTGTAGTGCGCTACAAGAACCTTATGGAACGACCAACCGTCGGTTTCCTTCGCGACGAAACACTTTACGCGTAGACGAAGTGGATTTAATGAAATGGAACGGCTTCATGGAGGTCGACCGGTATCTTACACGTGCTCTGCCGGTTTCTTCCAGACCGATCCCAAGTGGATTTACATGTGTCTTCTTTGCAAGGTGGAATGGACGCAGAACCGAAGCTGAGAAATAAAACAAAAATGTGAAGGTTGATTAAAGACGACGTGGCAAACAAAAAGGAAAGGAAAAGGAGACTGGACATCTCTCACAAGTCCGCTAATATAATTAATCAGGAACTTTTGAATACCAAATTGCGTTAATCGTAGACACATCGAAACAAAATCAAGTTCGTATCTTCGAGCTAGAAAGTTATGCACTACCATTCCGTGTATCGCACAAAACAGACACGAGAATGCGACCATGCGAAACATTTGAATTCCAAATTATCGTTTTATCCGCCGTGTGACTGTATTCACCGTGTTTTTTCCTTGGTGAAAAATATAATAATTAAGAGAAAATATATTCTTAACTGTGAGAATAAAAATAACTCCACCATAACTTTATCGAGTGCAAACAAAGAATAATTATATTATTTAAACGAGAGTTGAGGTAAAAAGAGCGACAAATAAAAGTATCAGGTTTTCCTTTGATTTATCGTCACTTCTTTGTTGTCATCTCAGACATTAATATTGTATTATTACAAAAGTCTCCTCACATTTGATAAATAAGATAAAAAACGAAATCGTTTAATGTTGAAGGATCAATAATTTTTACGAATAAAACGAACATCAGCTCGGTATTTCTTCAGACGTCTAACGAGGATTTCCTATTTTCCTTTTAATATTCAAATTTCCTATGAGAATTTTATAGAAAAATGACAAATTTCGATACCAAATTAATGCTTGGCTTGTTATTGCGTTCTTCAATCACGTCGCAATTGTTCCCGGGTACAATTGAGTTGATGGGAATGAATTAAGGTCGCCTCATTTGTATACAGGGAAGAAATTTGCGAAACAACGTTGCTCTATGCCTCGCCACAAGCTCGAGTGAAGGTCTCGGGGACACTCGCCTCGTAATTCTGTCTTGTAGTTTGTCAATTTCATTTTTGCATTATGCCTCGCGTGCGGTGAAATTGCATATCTTTTTTTTCTCTCTCTCTCTCTTTGTCTATCTGTCTCGGAAACGGCACTTAGAGACCGCATCACACACTACGACATCGCGCCGCGCCGTAAGATGTTGCAGCATTCTAACTAAGAAAACTCAGAATAAAAGCAAAATTGTTTTCGTTCGTGCGCATGCATTAATATAATTCTTGCAAATTAATCAAGTAATCGATTTTAGATAACGTGCCGTCAATCTAATTCTATTAATATACATGAGCAACGATAAAAAACGAGTGTATATATATCGTTATCATTAATGTGTATGTTTGTATCATTTGATGCAAATAATTAAACGCCCGCGGTAGTTTCCACCACATTTTCTTTTATTGCGGCGAAAGTACAACACCTGCGTATGCGCGTCGTAGGGTTCACACGCGCATTTTATTTACAATAAACGTGCAATGTATTACATAATTCTTTTTAACACGCGACTACGCATTTGTCTATGGACTATGGATTTAGGATTCTGAATGGACCCTAGTCATCATTTATCTTCATAGAAATACGTTTACGCGTACTATACAAAAATTCAAAATTAATTCTTTATGAATAAATCTCGTCTATCTATCGATCAATCTCGCCGAACACGACATCCAAGGTGCCGATGATGGCGACTATGTCGGCGAGGAAGTGTTTGGGTCCTATGTGTTGAAGACTTGCGAGATGCGCAAAGCCAGGCGCCTTGATCTTGCACCTGTACGGTTTGCTGCTGCCGTCGCTCACGAGGTATACGCCGAACTCGCCCTTCGGCGCCTCAATGGCGGTGTACGTGGCGCCCGGCGGCACCTGGAAACCTTGTGTGTACAGCTTGAAGTGATGGATGAGCGCCTCCATGCTAGTCTTCATCTCTTCACGCCGCGGTGGCACTATCTTGGCGTCGTCGCATCGCACCTCACCCTCGGGCATCTGATTCAAGCATTGATGAATGATACGCAGAGACTGACGCATTTCCTCAACACGGCAGATATATCTGCAAGAAACAGTCCAATGAAGATTTTGTGCCAAGTATCTCGAGTCAAATACGTAAGACGCGAAATAGTGTACGTATGAGATCTCTCGCGTATTTTTAGTGAAAGGCAAAAAACAAAAATCAAATATTATTCCTGCAGACAATAAATGCTAAGTGATAAAGATAGAATCATGAATTAACACAGAGAGCAAATGATTCGAGAAATATATTGTCATGTTTCCTCACTATAATCCGCATCTCATGAAGTTAACATCGGACAAAGTTCTTAAACAACGAGATATCAACGAGGAAAAATAGAATTGACCATGAACTTACGAATAAAGTAGACGTATCGAAATGGTCATGCAATATGAACTATCTACACTTTTAGATTGTTCATAAACATGGTTTTTATATTTACAGTTGATTTGTCAGTCTGTTTAGACGTAGGACGCAACAATATAATAATATTGTTATCAATATATAAATTTATATATTGATAACAATATTATTATATTGTATATATTTATATATTTTTAGTGTTTATTCGTTAATATTCCGAATTCATCTATTGTATTTTCAGCAAAAGTTAAAAGATAAAAATCAATAATTAGTCCAGAAAACAAACATAGAATCAGAAGTTATCATAGAGAATAAGCATGATTCGAGAAATATATAATCCTCATTTCCCCTTTTTAATTTAATTGTCGATTTACTCACCTGTCATAGCAATCGCCGTTTATGCCGATAGGTATGTCAAAGTCAACCAGATCGTAAGCGTCGTAAGGCGCGACTTTTCTTAGGTCCCACTTTATTCCAGAGCCCCGTAACATTACTCCGCTGAATCCCATATTTAACGCGTCCTCCGCAGATACGACGCCGATGTCAATCGTACGTTGTCGCCAGATTCTATTGTCCGTCAGCAAATCCTCCACTTCATCCAGTCGCTCGGTATATTTGCAAGCCCAGTCGTAAATGTCGTCCATCAGACCTAGTGGTAAGTCCAAGGAGACACCACCTGGTCTTACGTAGGCCGCGTGCATGCGAGCACCACTAACACGCTCGTAAAATTCCATTAGCTTCTCACGCTCCTCGAAGAGCCAGAAGAAGGGCGTCATGGCGCCAACGTCCAAAGCGTGCGTGCCGATACCCATGATGTGATTCAGAATCCTTGTAATTTCCGCAAAGAGAACTGTAAATGCAAACAAAGCTCTATAAAATTAAATATATCATTGATTCATTACAGAAATTGCTATATCTAAAAAATATAAATTAAAGGAATCTCATCTCTCAGATTTACATCAAAATCAAGGGAATAAAGGCATTTATTATAATGCAATAAAATCAATCTAACCAAAACATTCACAAAAATTAGTATATTATTTAATGTTCTCTAAAGTATATATTAAATGATATCCTAATTTTCATGGATATTTTGTATAGATTAATTTTAGCGCACTATAATGTCTGTGCATTAGCTCTTACTGACTTTTACTTCCTTGATTTTGATTAACAATATAAACTATAAATTATATGTTATACCTAACAGCATGCATCTAATAATAAATTAAACACACTGCAAAAAAAAACATATATATATATATATATATATATATATATATATATATATATATATATATATATATATATATATGCATCTATAATAAATAAACTATAAGCTATATGCTATACTTAAGAATATATATAAATTATAAACTGTGAACTTGTACAGAGATACAAGCTTAGAAATGTGAGAAAAAATAAATTTAATTAGTTTAAAAAATTCTTAATTATCTGCAGGATATCCTGTGTTTACTGTAATCTTAGAAAAATATAGTTCTCACCTCGAATATACTTGCCACGTAGCGGCACATCAATATTGAGTAACTTTTCTATAGCCAGGGAGAAACATTGCTCATTGCACATCATAGAAACATAGTCCAGACGATCAAAATAGGGTAAAGCCTGCATATATGTTTTGTATTCGATCAGCTTTTCTGTACCACGGTGCAAAAGACCTATATGAGGATCAGCGCTGACCACTATTTCACCATCCAACTCCAAGATCAATCTGAGTACACCGTGAGCAGCTGGATGCTGCGGCCCAAAGTTGAGCTTGATGTTCTGTATGGTTTGGTCTGCATAAACCGGATTAACGATTAGATGCTCCTTGGTTGGTGGTGTCCAGTTGATCTTCTCTGGTGAGTACAACACTGGCTGGTTGAATTGCTCGAGATAATGTATGTCCGGTTGCCATTGCTTAACGCCGCGACGCTGTCTGCAAGATATACACATTGTCATTGTTAATGCATCTCAACAAATAAATCAGATAGGGGTTATGACGAGGTTATATAATAATGCATATGGTTACGATAGCCGCCTTACAATAAACGTAAGTAATTACTTACACGTCAACAATTGCGGGCACACTATTTGGCGATAATAATCTATTAACGCCGAGAAATCCTGCGTTTTTACGCAGGACTGACCCCAACACTCTAGTCGCCATGATGCTCACATCACGTCGCTCAGTCGATAACGATTACCGTAAAACATAGAACAAAGGCTTGTCCTTTTCGACCGAACTTTTTACACTGGTGCAACAAAAATGTACCAAGTTTTGGGATCGTTTACAATAAAAATCGTAGGGCTGTGTGGCGATTCTCAACGTCGTGCGCATGCGAAAATCCAATAGTTTATGTTATGAATACTATACATTTTCGCATGCACATCTCATTTGCACGAGAATTGGACCCTTGAGCATAGAATTTTGCATAAAGAACCGTCTACAATGGAAGTAAAGTACGGCTGTAAAAAGTAAGAAATTGACCATTCACAGTCGATTCTTGGACCGCAAGAAGCACAATCTACTGTGATTGATTAATTTTCTTTACGATCTTACAACCTACAACTTTACAACTTCTATTGTAGATGTCCCTAGTTTATCTTCAGATGCTATATAGATTATTTCATTGGCTATAAAGTATCTGAAGTAAACTTAAGCATAAAGTCCATTTAACTCTACAAATTCTTCAAAGAGACGGATAGATAAACCGTGTTGCTTTATTTTACGCTTTAAAGCATTTGCAATGTCAAACGGATCCTGCCCTAAGAATCTAACTTAGACCCGTTATTTCTGTAAATTCAAAGGCCCATATTCTGAATCCTCTTTTATCGATAAAAGTGCCTTAAATGTAGCTTCTCAGCCAATCAGATGGTTCCTAAGCCTCTTTTAGAGGCTTTTATAGATAAAAGAGGATTCAGAATATGGGCCTATGACTCATATTCTGAATCCTCTTTTATCTATAAAAGTGCCTCTAAAAGAGGCTTAGGAACCATCTGATTGGCTGAGAAGCTACATTTAAGGCACTTTTATCGATAAAAGAGGATTCAGAATATGGGCCAAAGTTTCTGTATTCTGTAATTCCAAAGTCTCCACTACGAGCCGCTACTTTCTTTCATGATGAAATCGAAGTAGTGATAGCTATAAACAACATCTGTATTGACCAATATACTTACAGAAATAACGGGTCTAATGTACTTCTTGATCGTTATGACAGATTTCATAATCTGTGATATTCGTTAACTTTAACGATTAATATCTCGTTTTGCAGGGCAGTGCGATTATTTTAATTTTTATATTCGATTCTACGCGTGAAAATACACAGTATTATTGAGTTTTAACTAAATCGGATGTGACTCTAAACTCTCTTAATTACTCTCTTTTCTAAAGAATTATTTAATTCATATACTTTACGAATACAAATAATATTGTCATGCGCGATAAAAGGCGGATAAACCGTTAGTTCCATCGTCACAAATGCAAAAAATTAGATTTAATACAGACAGTACAGACTTCTAAAAGATGGCTTTCCAGATAGCACAAGATTTTCAGAGGATATTCTATGAATGTTTTCAGAATGTCTTTAGGATGTCCTGTGGAGATCTGTGTTGTTTGGATTATATAAAAAAGTACAAAAGACGTCCTAGTTTATTTAAACGTCTTTCAGATTTTTTTTTAAGTACTGTCTAGAAAAAGTATAACAAAGAACAGTGTCCAAAGAACGGCGACATTCAATTCAAAGACAATTCGCGTGTTTCCATAGAGATACTCTGAGATTATTCAATGTTATCGGCTCTGATTTCAATGAATTATCGATCGCGAGTTAAATCATCGAATTTAAGAACGCGATTAAAAATCTGGCGGGATTCTGTGCATAATTCTTCAATTAAATAGACGTTAACGCAGCAAAGGTACACGTCTTACGTAAATGTCAGCCTCCGCAATAGTCGCGGTTCGTAAAGTCGCTCCTCAAGAATGCGCATCTGAATGGGACCAAAGCAGTACGACAGCTCTGATACACATGTATCGGGAGCGCAAGTGCCTATGGGACAGCAGCCACGAGTTTTACAAGAATCGCCGATTTCGTCGGGAGGCCCTCGCTGAGATGGCGAGTCGCTTTAATTGCTGCCTCGCTGATGTCGAGAAGAAGTTGTACATGTTACGCAGCTCCTTCCGCAAAGAATATCGCAGGTGATTGCACATCAAATTGTGATAGAGACTACAAATTTTCCACGTTGTTCGCGACATAGAATATGCAGAGTTTCTAAAATATTTGCACAGGTGGAACAGCGCGAAGCTGAACGCCGGGCCGAATGGCGCGGATCTAGTACGAAAACCACAATGGTTTGCCTTGGACTTGCTCATGTTCCTCAAAGACGACATCGTCAGCAAATCGCCGACTCCTACGAATTCGGCTCGAGGGAGTGACGATGGCTCGCCACAGCAATTAGACGACAGCGGCCCGCTCCAAAAAGTTAATGATACGAAGCTAAAGAGAAAAACAAACAATCGTACCTCTCGCGTCCTCGCACTCCTCCATTTATTTCCCTGATCTTGAAACTGCAGCGTCGGTACGACGCGGATCTTGACCCTCGCTTGTTGCTTCTGTTCGCATCTAAAACCGTACGTGGTGTCGCAAATAGATGTCTACATTAAAGGGACAAAATCGCGCGGGCAGTCGCTTTATTTCGCGGATATTTCGAACCGCGTTTGGAAGCGCGCCATGGAATTTCCTTTGCACCGCAGTTTCTAAGAATCTAACGATGCCCATTGCGTGCAGACACTGATCATAAGAATCTAAATGGAGCATCATTTGAAATAAGAAGAGAAATTTGTGCGTTATATCGATTTGTTGATAAATTATAAAATTGACACTAAAATTTGAAAAGTAACGCATTACTCATAAGATCTGATCCACAATTTTGCTTTCAGGAACCGTAAGTCGTAAGCAAATTGACCAACCACATAGTTGATTATTCTTAGAAAAATAAAATAATTTTAAAAAATATATATAAGGTATTTTATAATTTTTTTATGGATCAGGACTGATGCTATTACCATTAAAAGTTATTTTCCAATAACAGCTTGATAACGGCATTTTGTTTTTTGTAAATAACAATACAGGTGACATGATTACATTTTGTGTAGCTGTATAAAATGTAATTGTTACTCTTATCGCGTTACTCTGCACGTGCAAAATATACAAGAGATAAGCGATCGCGAATCGTAAGAAAGTTTCTTTGAAACTTGGTAAATGAAACAATATTGTAATAACTGGTTTTTTTTTGTTGAGTAACAATAACGGTAACGAGTTACTTTTCAAAATAGGTAATGGTACCAATATAACAAGTTACTTTTCAATAGATAACGAGTAACAAACTACTTCAAAAAATAATTTACCAACTCTGAAAACAGCGAAATAAATTGAACGTGTGTTATATCGATTAGCCAAGAAACTATCAAAACTGACACTATCTTATCGTATTGTTGTCTGCTTATTTTAATCGCAGGATATTCAGAGTATCTTTTACTACGACAGCGAGAACAGCACGCTGACGCCCCTCGATGTCGGCGAGGTCTCTCTTGAACATAACTCGCAGTCGCAGGATAATAGAAGAACGGTTAGCGAGGAATCGTCCAAGAGGAATCCTGGAGAAAGTTTCTCGGAGTTCAGCAGCAAACGTCAGAAAACGAATAGTGTGACAAACGATAACGGAATGTCGCGGACAATGAAGATATCAACGAGCACGTTAGTAACGGAAAAGGACTCCTCCGTGGCTTTCGGGAACTTCGTCGCAGAGGAGCTAAGAAACATCAAAGACCATGAACAGATGCAACTGGCCAAGTTGCGAATTCATCAGATTCTCTTCGATGGTGCACGCGGCTTACTTAAGATGCCGATTCCCAGACTGATCAAGCACGATGATGTTGATCCTCGTGGTTTCTTGATTAAATGATCGAGAGATTATTTCTAGATAATTTCTAAATGATATATTTAAAAGATATCTTTTAGAAGTTTCTGTTACCTCTGGCTTATTGATCCTGTGATTTACGAGCTGCTATATCAAGACTGTTCTTGACAATGTGATTCACTTTTCTTCGTATATTCATCAATATACATGAGGAAATAATTGATTTTGGCTATTTGAATCTCTGTGAGATATATGAGACGACATAAAAATCGTTCGTCGTATTAACCACGTTAATACGTTAGTCATTATGCTGGATTTATATGTGAGTACTAGAATTAAATTCTCAGTCTGTTATGTTAATGATACTATGTTGTTTTCTTGATATTCTAAATACTTAATATTTCTCTCAGTCATTTTCTATCAGGAAAGTAAAACTTATAAATAAATAAGTAACACGTTACTCAAATATGGATAACCTGGCAATCAATGTGTTATTACGAAAGAAAGATAAAACATTGTAGAAATAAGGCTCTTTCGATATAACACAATTTAAACAAAAATATTTGATATCGATTGATGTGTATTGAAATTTATTTACGCAACTAAAGAACGACGGAAGAGAATCGAATGTTAATATTTAAATAATTTAATGTAAAAATTGTTTAGAAATAAGTAATTAAAGAAACATCAATTTCCGTTCGTTCTCTTGCTGCGAATTATTGCTGTTCGTCGACGCGCAGAGAGAAGGCAAGCAGGAACTTCAGGTTTCCTCATGAGTGAGACGATTGCCAAAAGTTTGACGTAAGTCACGGTATTGAGGTTGCTATTTCGAGGATAGCGGTGGTGTATGGATCATTGTTGCTCCCGCTGGCCAACATTCTACACGTCGTCGTAATTGCGCGGCCAGATACACGCACACACATATTCTAATCACACACGCAGAAAGTTCTCATTTAATTCACCTTTATTTTTACTGTACATTGAGCGTATATATATCGTCATATATATATATGCATATATACAAAGGTACAAAAGTTAATCACCTTGCTGATTACTGGAAGAAATCCTCCACGGATATTCGTCCGATCCGCGTGTAACTCTGCAAGAAGTGTATTCCAAAAATATCACCAAATTATCAGAATAATTCGACGTATTTGACATCGCATTCGCGCGATAAAAGCGCATTCAAGACGAATATCCGTTGCTATGCCTGAGCAATGATAAGTGCAATCCACATTTCTATCGCAAACGATTGCCTCCATGCGAAACAAAACAGCAGAAAGTTGCAACGTATAAAACGCGTACATTTAGCGACTAGATGAGTAGTAACAAGTACAAGTAAAGTATACACCGTTTTTCTCGGTGAACAGCGTCGTTTACTTAAGAATATCACGTTGCTCACGTTGCCTTGTGTTATACGCTTCGATGCAGAAGTAGAATGCTAACATGAATAGAAAGTGGGAGGATGGTGCCTCAACAGCCTCATTTTATTGTACTCGTCGCACTGACGTGGACTCGCGCGGTGCCAGGGCGAGAGATCGCGGGAGATTACGAATAAAATACATACATGAAGAAAATATTATAGCTTTTTTCATAAAAATTTTCATATAAATTTAAATAAATTTTCTTCAATTTTATCATTTTCTCTGTCGGAAATAGACTGTCAGTAGAATTTATCGTGCTGAGGAACACAGTAAGTTTTTCTAAGGAACGTAGTAAATGTTTTAATAGTAAAACTTCAGTTCCTAAAATATCGCAGTGAACAAAATATTGATAGAATATTATTGTTCCTCGATTAAATTCTAATATGAATTTTAGTCAATGTAATCACATTGACTAATGTCAATTAATATAATCAATATAAGCAAAATACTATAATAATTTTTACTATAAAATTCTCTCCGTGTACACCTCTCGGTCCACTCGCCCACTGATCCGCGAGTCCGCTAATAGAAGTCGTAGAGGAGGTAGCGATGCAACGACTGCGGTAGCTGCAGCTTCCGCACGATCTTCGGCAACTTCGTGCCACAGAGCCTGCGGACGATCAGTCTCGCCTGGTGAGTCAACGGCAACGGGGTCCTGGCCGCCTCCATCACCAAGGCTTTCTGCGCGTCTGTCAGGCTGCTCGAACGTCGGATCATACAGGGATCGAAACTCTCCGCCGCCTCCAGTAACGCCCGCAACAGCCGCGGCTTGTCCGCCGTGTTCTGCAGGGAATTGAGGATGCCATGCGGGTCGCGGAACTGCGTCTTGATGACAACCCGAGCGCCGTACTTGAGCAGCAACGACACCACCTCCACCGATGGGTTCTCGTTCGAGGCCACGTACTCTGCGAGGACCGGGCGCAGCGCCGGGCCGTCGTCGCTGCGGATCACCAGATTCGGGTCGGCGCCACGTTCCAGCAGCATGCACAGGATCTCCAAGCGATTCGGAATATTGTCCGCGCAGGCTACGTGCAGGGGTGAGCCGATGATTGGCGACGTGGCGTTCACGTTAGCGCCTGTATCGGCACATCGAATTTCGTTAAAATTCACATGTCAACGAACGTTTCTGAGATCGCGTTGATTTACACGTGGAATCTCGAATAATGCTGCCAATTTTGATTACCCAGGTAGTATCTAGGTAATACTCAAAAGATACGGGTAAAACTCAAAAGACTAGAATACCTGAGTACCAGGATAATCAAAATTGGCAATACTAACTTCAAACAGCTACTCGAAATTACTTTCTTGTCGTATGTAGTCAAATTTATTATTAGCAAATAATTTTTGTTGTAATTACCCGGCAAATATAATGACGTATTAATCATATCAAACACATATCAAATAAATACGTCCTTATGTTTACTGAGTATATTTCTTGAATTCAAATTATTCTAAACTGCGTGAGTAATATATCACAAAACGATAAGACGAGAATCAACGCGAACTCGTCTTTGTTAGAATATAATGAAGCAAAATAGTGAGTAGTAAAGTGAAATAGTATGGAGAGTATACCTGAATATTCTCTTTAATTTTACCGCTGTGCAGCATTGCAATAAGAAACGCGAATTAATTTCGGCCGATGTGACGTCAATCTGACGTTATATAATACTTATAAAGATAAGATTAACTCTTTGAAGCTGTTTCTTCGACGCTACAAAGAATATCGTCTCTTGAGTAATTCACTACGATTATTTGACTATTTAATTACGACTATCAAGTTGTATAGGTAACTTATATAACTTGACATTTATCAAAAACTAAAAAGAACTCATGAAAGTCTCTGACTCGTTGATACCCAATAAACGCCAACCATTAGTAACATAATTACTAGTAACATAACATCAATGTTATAATTTCTTACTCAACAACGTAAATGCATAAATTATAACATTGAAGTAATGTTACTGTTAGTTGGTGTTTACTAGTTTGAAAATATTTTACCGCTTTGAACATTTTCATTGATCAAAGATAGAAATCTATCGCTCGACTATGACAGATGCGTAAAAACATCCTGTTCACTTAACCAATACTGCTGAAAAAAGCTCTTGGCTGATGCGATGCGACCCGGAGCAAGAGATCTATCTATCTGTCTACCTATCTGTTTATCTGCGATCTGAAAGTCGCTTCGCGCACAAAAGGGTCGTATGCGCGAACCAACGCGGCGATCATACAACGTATTCGGCACGCGACGACCTTCGAATGCCGCGCGATTCGGCTGTATGCCAGTATCAGACACGTAGCGCAAGTTACGACTTGTAACTCACCCGCTTTGAGCAGCATCTCGACGATCGACGGGTCACCCTTGAGTATGGCCAAGTCCAGGGCTGTTGGCTTCTGGTAGTCCGGTCCCAGGTCCAATCTGGCACCTTGTTTCAGCAGCAGATTGATTACCGCGGGATCGCCGCCGAGGATCGCGTAGTGCAGCACTGTGCGATAATCGTGCCTGGTGTCCGCCATCGAGTTCACGTCGGCACCATAGCTCAACAGCAGAAGCACCGACGCTATACCCTGCGCAACGTCCGCAGCATTAATTAGTTTCTCTTGCGATTCACAAAATGCGAAGAGCAATGAGGTACCAACGAGAGAACGTTTGAGTGCTTACTGGGAAACATGATTTTTCTAGCATCTGAAATGGCTTGGTTAAAGGCTTCCAAATGAATCTTGCACTCGTTTTTGTTAAATACTGAAATACTGATTATGTTTGACTAATGATGATATGTTAAACTAAATAGAATTATAGATGATATGATAGATGATATGATAAACTAAATAGAATTAGTTACCTGTGGCAATCTAGCGGCCTTCATAAGAGGAGTTAAGCCGGCGCGATCCCGCGTGTTTGGCTGAGCGCCGAAGGCCAACAACAGTTCCATGCACTCCAGATCGAGAGGTGATACCAGATTAATCTCGGAGCCGAAGAAGTACCTTTTGTTCGGATTGGCACCAGCCTCAAGCAGCGTCCTGGCGACCTCGACGTGACGGTTACGCAGAGCTAAACGCAGTGGCTCGTCACACAACATGGTTCTACATCAGAAGAAACTACGTTAGTTGCTAGTCAATTAGTTAGGTTTTGGAATCTAAGCGATTTCGCTCAAAAAGGGATTTATTAACACGTTCGCTACCATGGTTCATTTGGGAAACACTCCGCAGTCAATATTATTTTCGCACATAATTGTGTAAAAAAAATTTATTTTGTCTGTGTGATCATAAACAAATTAAGTAATAAAATAAAAAGAAAAATTAAATTACTAGACGTAAAAAGAAAAATGACTGATGTTACATATGTGTGGTGCTGCTAGAAAACGCGTTAAAATAAGAAAAAGAAGACTATAAAGAAGGATAATTTCAATATGTCTTAGTCTTACGTTTCACTGTCAATTGTAGCAACGCCTTAGAGTCCAAGAGATTCCGAGGATCGAATGCAATCACCGGCATTAGCAGGGCATCGACTAAGTAATATCGTCTTCATCCGCTGATGCGACTCTCCCGAATCTCTCATGTGTTTTATAGAGGCAATTGAAAGAGCAGCTCACCTAGGAAACAGTTCTCCCGTATCTTGACGATGGTCCACTTTGGCGCCATACTTGAGCAGCAGCTTCACCAGGTCCAGGTAGCCGTGCTCGGCGGCGAGATGCAGAGCCGAGTAGCCGCATTCGTCGGTGGCGTCGATGTCGGCGCCGCGCACCAGGAGTAGCTGAGCGGCCTCGGTGTAACGCTGCCAAACGGCGTAGTGCAGGGGCCTGAGGCCCTGAGTGACCGGCTCGTTGGGTTTGGCACCGCAGGCGAGGAGTATACGGATCTCGTCTAGCGGCTGCAGCCGTATTATCGAGTCAGCCAGTTCCCGTTGCAACGGGTTGGCGATGCACTCGGTCGGCATCTACGTGGTGCAACACATACATAAAGATACAGATAGAAAGGAATAGGTAAGAGAGAGAGAGAGAGAGATTGCATAATGTGCGAGTTCGCAACGTGTCTCACACGTGCTATAGATAAGAACTGCGAAAGATGTATCGTAAGGGATTCAACGAGAGAGACGATTTGCAATACGTAAACTTGTTTTCAACAATAACAACCACATGGGAAATTGTTCAGTGAATCTATCTATCTATCTATCTATCTACTACTATTTATCTATCAATCATTTACTCTTCATTTATAATAACGGAGATTAAGTGGAGTTAAGACAGTTCCTTCAAACGGGTGGTTTGAAAGAGTTTCCGGAGAAACTTTGCAAGCACCAATTACTGATTGATTTATGATATCTGCGATGCCAATATTATCACATTAATATCAGAACTCAAGTAATTTACAGTTAATTAATTTTGCATTTTTAATTTATAATTTATTTATACTTAATTTATAATTATGAATATTAGTTGGAAGTAATATCTGATAAATTTGGTGCTTGGAACTTTTTTTTCTTCAGTTAAACTCATCCTTTTAACTACTTGGGGATTAAGTTAAACATAACACTTCGACGTCGAGCGCTTCTCTACTCGTTTGAAACAAATTTTTTGCGAGGAAAGAATCACGTACACGACATGCACCGCTAACATGCATCTATCGTACGTGGATACACACTTTACAATTAAGTCTGATAATGTGTCTCTTACGCAAAGAGCGCGGAAAACCGACAAATCTGCAATGCAAGAAAAAAACGATATTAATTGAGATCTGACTACCTAAGAAGACCGATCTGAAGTCTTTCTCGCAGCTGTAAAAAGCTCGAAATTCGTCTTTCTCACAAATTTAAAATTAAGTCTCTCGCTTTTCCGTTACACAGAATTAGAAAATTTAATTTTGTTTAAATTGTCTGAGAATTAGTCCGAATTAGATTTAATTTGACAGAATTATACTTAATTAAGAAAATTTCCCGTCTTCTTTTTCACGACTCATAGTGTTGCGATGTCAAGGACGTTTCCATTAATTAAAACTACAATTTTCGCGACTCGGGGAATCGCGTATTTTCGCGGAGACTTTCCTGCGACGCGTGGCTAATCTCGTTTGCGACTTGTCAGTTGTTTCGTACGATTTGGCTGACAATAAGTGAGTAATGCAATCACTGCTCTCTCAGGAACCTCACCGAAGCGCGCGTCACGAGCCTAGAAGCTCTGCCAAGAAAACGGCGCAATTTTGGTGATGATGCCGGAAGTTTCATGGCGTCGATCGAGAATCACGCAGTCTGCGTTTTCGCGCAAGCTCCACTTCGAGAGAGAGAGAGAGAGAGAGAGAGAGAGAGAGAGAGAGAAGGGAGAGGGAGACAAGCACGAAGCGTGCTCTCCAAGAGCACACGTCCACAGCATCCTCGGTTCTTCCTTGCACACCGGAGGATCCGGATGCAACGACGCGATTCGAGTCACTTTTCGACGAGCTCAAGAGAGGATCAAAGTGAAATTCGCTTCTTGTCGATTGCGAAAGTCATACCGACGACTTCTCCGCGAAGAGTCGTGCTTCTTCGCGAATTTCACGTTAATCTTCTCAAGTGCCTGATAGATGCTCGCGGCTAAATTTAATTAAGTAAATTTTCCGTTTCTATTTATACCAGAGGTAAAACTGCAATACGAAAGAGGTGGCGAATCGCCATGCAGACACGATGCAAATCATCGACGCGGTCGGCTTTCAATTCGCCATCGACGTGTAATCGCAAGACTTTCCGAATTACCGATGTCTTGTTAAAGTAAAACGTTACATTCTCGATAGATGGATTTTTCGAGAACGCGCACCGACTGCGCCACTCGGTACTCGTAATTTTGTTCACGATCAACGAGAAAAGTGCCGACCGCCTTCGATGACCGTTCGATGTGTTCTTGGCTTTCTCGCAAGATGAAGATCGATATGACCGGTGCAGCCCGTAACAACGTAGAAGAGCCGATATCCATTGCCAATTTTCACCGCGTATATCTCAGCATATCATAAACATTTAGCCCGAATTGATGCAAGATCGCGATAACATCGCGCAACATTGAACTTCGACCGGTACTTCGCCGCGAATGCCGCGTACTTTCCGGATACTTTGACACCTGTCAAGTGACGATCGGAGCTCCTCTGTCGTGGGGAATCGCGGGCTATCGGACAAGTGCGGTATTAAATGGCAACTGCCACTGGCTGCATACCATTCGTCTTTTGCAACTTTTAGTAGCTATTTAATTATTAATGACAACAACGAATCGCTTTTTTTCTATAGAAATTACGAGCGTCATTCTCAAGAAAAGAAAAATTCACCATGAAAATTAATTCGATTTTGCAGGGAAAGTGCAAAATATTTGTTAGATCTAAACAGAGAAACTGACATCACGTAACAGTTGACTAAATTTCACGTGTAGTCCTCGCGCATTAAAGCTTCCCGACATTTTACCTCTCGCTACTCCCGCGTCAATCGGGAAGTCCTCGCCGTACTGAGGGGTCTATTCCGCGCGATTTGTCACGAGCGATTTATCACAAGCGGCTTAATTCTCGAACCGGTCCACGAGACCGATCGCAGCATCCGGCGACTCTGCCAACGTAAAACCGGGGCGGCCGATCGTCGTCATGGTCGCGATGGCGAAGGTGCCATCCGCGACGTTGTGAACCAGGCGAACAGTGATTCGGCGCGCACGTACGCAATCGCGCTTATTGTTTACTCACTTCGAAAACGGTGCGATGCTCCAGCATGTAGGAACGATGTCACAAACTGCCTTCTTCGTCGGCTGCCCGGTCCTATTTAAAGCTTCAACGAACGGCGATTCGCGCCGTCCGAAAATAACACAAAGGGACGCGGCGGGAGCTTGCGCGTCGAGTTCGCCTTCTCTCTCTCTCTTCCTCTCTGTTTCTCTTGTCTCTTCCTCTGCTGGCTACTACGCATTTTTATCTCAGCTTGTATGTAGACGGATAGACACGTAGATGTATTACTCACGTGTTCCTTTTCCCTCCCGCGTTTTCTCACCTGCCGTTTCCCGACGCCATGGTTGTCGCTCCTCCGGGATCACGTCGCTCCTGTTGTCCTGTCGCGTCCTTTCGGCACGAGCGTCGCACTCCTAATACTTATCGCGTACGACATACGTCTTGACTTTTCCCTCTCTCTCTCTTTCATTCTCTGCCTATCGCCCGCTTACTTCTCACGTGTGTTTGTTTTGAAAATTGTTTACGATTTCTGTTGGCGCGCGTGGCGATCAGGTCGCGCTAAGCACGCACTTGGCGACATTGTTGACGCGACGGTGTACACTCCGTTGTTAAATGGTTTGCACGCTTCTCATCGAATATGTCAACAAACTGTCAAAATTGAATGTTATTACCGACGAACTCACGCAATAATATAATTAACGATATATAATTGAGTACTAAATAATAATAAATAACAATATTACTAATTGATAACAATAATAATAATTAACAATATATATATATATATATATATATATATATATATATATATATATATATATATATA